CACTTAGTTCCTTAAGTACTCGTGGATGAATACCGTCAGGCCCTGGAGCTTTGTTTATATTAACTTTCTTCAGTTGCTGCAGCACCTTAACTTGAGTTAGCCAATTACAATTTTTCTGCATGTTTTTTGCAGCAATCATTTGTAGATCTATTGCCATAGGTTCTTCCTTATTATATATGGAGGAGAAATAGTTATTTAAAATGTCTGCATTTTCCTGGTCTTCATTAACTAACACCCCCTTCCAGGTTTTTAGTGTATATCACTTTCAGGTTTTGTTTTTGTTTTTTTTATGTACTTAAAAAACGCGTTGGGGTTGGTTTTGCTCTCTTTGGCTATTTTTTCATTTTGAAGTTTAGCAAATCTAATTGCCTTTTTGCACACATTATTGGCTTCCTTATATCTTTTATAGGATGCCTCTGGTTTGTCCGATTTAAAGGCTTTGAATGCCCTTTTTTAATTTTGTATTTCTTGATTCACTCTCTCACTAAGCCACATTGGTTTCAGTTTGTTTCTTTTATATTTATTACCCAATGTTACATACCGAGAAATATACCTTTCTAATATTTGTTGGAAGATTTTCCATTTATCCTCAGTGTTCTTTTCGTTAAAGAGTTTATGCCATTACATATCTCCACCAAGTACAAAACAAAAAACAAAAAAACCTTATGAGTAGAAACAGGTCAAAAGTGGAACACTAGTTAGTTGCGAGTCAGACTGCAGATCAACAGGACATTAAAATTGTCCCCACCAAAATCAGAGCAGTTACCTGGTACCTATAGTTGGCTCCCATGTCCACGTGTATGCCATGACAGCAAAAGAACAAGAATTCACACCTCTAAGAAACTAAAAAAATATTATATCATCAAACCTTATTTTTCTCCAGTCCGACCAGCACTATGAACCTAGTAAAAATTCCATCCCTACAAATCTACTCTTAGTTGCGACAGGTATACATCAGAGTTGATACCTAAACATATTTTAAAAAAAAGAAAAAAAGACAATAATCCAATAATTAAAGTGAATTTAAATCTATTTGCCTTAGACCACCAGCATACAGCAGAGATCTGAGAAACAGCTGGATGGGATCCAAGCTTCTTAAATATACTGAGAATCCCACTAAATCATGTCTGCTAATTGTATTTCCATGATAATTACATATTTTAAGGTACAAACTATTTCCTGGACTGAATTACAAGCCATTCATTTTAAATCAAGAATCCTGTTCGTCTATTTCCTTCAGGAGATTTTGGCCTGAAAATATGAGTCTAAAAAAAGAGTAATGTTATTTTGTTACAGGCCACACTGTTTTATGTTCATTAATCTTATTTGATTGTTATTGCTGCAGTCGTGCTTGAAAAGGGGGGCTCTACTACTGAATCAGGAAATGCCATACAAGTGGGCAAATGCACTGCTAATGCCATTAAAGCACAACGGAAGACAGGAGCCCCAAAGACTTATATTGAGTTCCGAAACAAGGGAACCAAGAACATGCTTGTCTCAGAAGTGATGCTGCCGTAAAGACCAAAATTTACACAAAATACAGATTAAGGAACAGCGCGCACACTCAGAATAGAGTTTGAATTTTACTTAAAATCAACAATCTTAGTTCCATCACATGGCCTTTCCACCACTTTGGGCAGACTAGATGGGCCAAATGGTTCTTATCTGCCGTCACATTCTATGTTTCTATGTAACAATACCCCAATATTAGTGGGTCCTACAATAATTTTAGCATGGGAGACAAAACTGCAATACTTAATGCTTAAACGACTTGCAGAGATTCTCCTCAAATTGATGCTTTCCTGTGGTCAACTGCAAAGGGGCTCCTGGAGTGGAGGGATGGGGTGGTCTGGATTCCAAATATACACAGAACAAAAATGAATTGGGGGTCACACCCGGAACATGCAATTCTTAGTATTGTTGCTGCCGTAAATACTACAATTTATACTTAATACAGATAACAAAAAAAAAGAAAGATACATTATGGCTGCATAAAATCACCTATCTTAGCAAATATATATGATTATCCAGTTCCACCATATGGTCATATCATGTTAAGCCCACCTTTACATCAAGCTTCGAGATTGCCAGAGGTTTTAAACGATGTTGACTTGAAAATACCATAGAAAATGAAGATGACGTTTTTTTTAAGGCAGTATATTACAGTACACAAAGTCATGTAAATGCCACGTTGAACCCGTTCTGGTAGCATTCCAGTAGAAGTTTTGCATGGAGAATGTACACACGGAAGTGTATTCACTTAACAGGGAGATGATTTAAAAAAAAATTGCAAAATTAAAGGACCCCTCTAGGCACCCAGACCACTTCAGCTTAATGAAGTGGTCTGGGTGCCAGGTCCCTCTAGGATTAACCCTTTTTTTTTTATAAACATAGCAGTTTCAGAGAAACTGCTATGTTTATAATAGGGTTAATCCAGCCTCTAAAGCCTCTAGTGCCTGTCTCATTGACAGCCGCTAGAGGCGTTTGCATGCTTCTCACTGTGAAAATCACAGTGAGAAGACGCAAGCGTCCATAGGAAAGCATTATAAATGCTTTCCTATGAGACTGGCTGAATGCGCGCGCAGCTCCTGATGTGCATGCGCATTCAGCCGAAGAGCAGGAGAGGAGGAGGAGAGCTCCCCGCCCGGCGCTGGGAAAAAAGGTAAGATTTTAACCCCTTCCTGTCCATCCAGCCCGGCGGGAGTGGAACCCTGAGGGTGGGGGCACGCTCAGGGCACTATAGTGCCAGGAAAACGAGTATGTTTTCCTGGCACGATAGTGGTCCTTTAAGTTTTGAAAAGAAAGTTTCTGCATTGTAATTTAATCTATTTCAAACATGTACATTCATCACATTTTACCGGAGAGTGAATTTCTTAGTGTTGTTATGATTTTGTTGTAGTAACAGTTGCCACTATAAACTACCCCATGCTGTGCCAAGCAATGTGGTTTATCATTACAGTTAAGGAATAAAACTGTTCAGGTTTATTTAATTTGGCCATCATACAAAATATCTAATATCCATCCATACAGGCTTAGGCAACTCCTGGAATGGTGGGAAACATGGCCTAAGAAATCCCCTCTGTTAAGCCAACTAAAAGGCTGGTTAATGTTTAGTCTACCCCACAGCAGATGGTTTGCCAGAGGCAGTCTCGCCCTTAGTCCACATTGACCTGTTTCAGTCCCACATTGCAGAGCCCATTATGTGATAACATGGCAACTGAAGTGAAAGTCCCAAACATTGCATTCTGGGAATTGTAGTGAAAAAAATAGCTAAGGTACTGATACTCTTGTGCATAATTTAAATTGAAGGAAGGGCAATTCCTAGTGGGGGGCACTTGTCCCTGCTTGCCCAGTGCTATTGACAACCGTAGTTAGATCTCTCTTACACTTGTAGAAAATTGTTTGTATGGTGTCATTACCTGGAAATATCTGCCAAGTGTGCCTATTTACAAGGAGCAGTCCCTATATTGGGCCCAAATTCCTCTGTCCCACGTTTCTGCCATAATGCCACTGTTTTTTTTGGAGCTCCTTATTGTTGGTGCATCTGAATGTATAACGGAGCTACACAGCAATAATACTCCCAGTAATGTGTCTGAGTGTATAACAGAGCTCCACAGCGATAATACTCCCAGTAATGTGTCTGAGTGTGTAAAATAGCTCCACAGCAATAATACTCCCAGTAATGTGCCTGAGTGTATAACAGAGCTCCATGGTAATAATACTCCCAGTAATGTGTCTGTGTGTATAACAGAGTTTCACAGCAATAATACTCCCAGTAATGTGTCTGAGTGTATAACAGAGCTCCATGGTAATAATACTCCCAGTAATGTGTCTGTGTGTATAACAGAGCTCCACAGCGATAATACTCCCAGTAATGTGTCTGAGTGTATAACAGAGCTCCACGGCAATAATACTCCCAGTAATGTGTCAGTGTATAACGGAGCTCCACGGCAATAATACTCCCAGTAATGTGTCTGAGTGTATAACGGAGCTCCACGGCAATAATACTCCCAGTAATGTGTCTGAGTGTATAACGGAGCTCCACAGCAATAATACTCCCAGTAATGTGTCTAAGAGTATAACATAGCTCCACAGCAATAATATTCCCAGTAATGTGTCTGAGTGTATAACGGAGCTCCACGGCAATAATACTCCCAGTAATGTGTCTGAGTGTATAACGGAGCTCCACAGCAATAATACTCCCAGTAATGTGTCTAAGAGTATAACATAGCTCCACAGCAATAATACTCCCAGTAATGTGTCTGAGTGTATAACAGAGCTCCACATCAATAATACTCCCAGTAATGTGTCTGAGTGTATAACAGAGCTCCACAGCAATAATACTCCTAGTAATATGACATTAAACTACAATAAATGTGTTTAGAAATCAGTCTGTGTAAGTAAGATACATTGTTCTTGTTTTAAATTACATTTTAGCTGCATAAATTGTTATTCGTAAGTCACCTAAAGGTGCCCAGAAGAGTTGTGTCCCTGAATCACACTCCTAAAATTAAAGTGTCCCGGTTTGTACATGAAATGTTGGAAAGTATGCCCTAAACCCTTTAATCTAAATTACGAGGGAGCAGATAAAGGAATCAGAGACCTGTTCTGCCTGCTAATTAATTCCCCACTGAAAGGCATGTAACATGCAGGGGATAGAAAGATCTCTGCAGAATATCCTTTCCAGTTACATTGCTGATTAATTTCCAGATTAATCAGAACAGTGTTAATACAATGCACCATTCTGATTACATTAATCTATTTTCATTAAATTAAGAAGTTGATATTAAATGGACACTCCAAGCATCAATACAACTTAATGCATAGGTTTTGGCTTCATTAATATGCTGTATTTTTGCGAGCTCAACTTGATAGTTTTTTCTTAAAAAATAGAAATGTTTTGAATGCTGCATCATAAGCCCGCCTCTCTAGCCACACCCACTCACTCCAGAAATATACTTCCTTATCAAATGTATGTACACAGCTCAGTCACTGACACTATTGAATGATCTGAACAAAACAACCCGCATGAGAAGGAGAGGACACCCATGGAGGCATATATTATGGATATCACTACCTGTTTGTAATTTCTCTGACTGTCTGCAGCCAGGTTATGAATTAAAAGCAGTTCACTCAGTGCTGTTTGGGCTGAGACTTTGTGCATACATTGATAAGGAAATCTTTCTGGCATGAGGTACGTGACTATAGGGACAGCCTTATGGAGCAGAATTCTGAAAACCCTTTTTTTTTCTATGCAAAAACTATAAAGAGTTAAGAATGGCCAAAAGTTATCAAATACACTAAAACTGTATTGGTGCCTGAAGTGTCCCTTTAAGATTATTCTGTCTCATTATCTCCCTGCACAGTGCAGGTAAATGCACAATTCACGGAGACAAATGCCAACTTGCCATCCTGGCCATAGTTTATTATCGGCCAGAAACGCAGCTTCTTTAACTGCTCCCACGCATAGGTTAATTAGTGCCACTCCTGAGCCACACCTATACACAATAACTCTTGGTCTATCAGCATGAAAGTCACTGTTCTACATGTAGTTTCGTTTTCCAGAATTCAGTTGTCTTAAAGTGACAGTATGTGACTGTCAGATATGGGCCGATTTAGCGAGGAAGGTTCATTATGGGGTCCTCTATCTAGGCTGGGGTCCTTTCAACAGCTAGATGTATCTCTGTGTGACTGCCTGTAGTTTGCTTATATACTATGCATTTGTTAGTTTATATATTATACATTTTATTTGCATGTTTATTATATAGCTTGTAGTCTTACATGCTGTATTATGTGTTATAGGCAGTTGCATATAAAGCCCAGTTTTCTTATTTTTATTATCGATCGAGTAGATGATCAATTATGTGTCAGTTTGCCATCCTGCATTAGCCATCAGTTCAACAACAAATTAATTAACCTAATGGTAGGTATTTGCACCATTTGGATTACAGAATAGACAAAAGGGCCCAAAGAGGTCATATGAGTCCAAAGATGGAGATACTTCCAATAAATCAAATAATGGTAGAAAAACATTATTAGAAAATGCAGGTCTATTTGTCTATTCTGTAATCCAATGGAATTATTGTAAATTATCCCCACTTGGAGCCTCTCAGGCACAGTTATTTGGTTCCCTAGTGGCACCTTTTTGTTATTTGCACAGTTTATATCAGTTTAAAAAGTTTTTGTTTTTTAACAGTTTATTACATTCCTAGGCAGATGATCTTGTGGGATCATCGGATATCTTGGACTAATCTACAATCCTCTAGACATTATGGATAATCTATGATATATGTGTGTCATAAAGCTAAGAAATATGCATGTAAACATATAAAATATTCACAGGTTTTGCAAAAAATAATATAAATATTCTTCTTACCAACACCCACTGACATGCACCAGTAGGGACTAGAGCGATATCAATAAAGCACCGACAATTAAAATCCAATCATGGTGAAAGGGTTAGCTATAAAGCAATATGGACCTTTTTATAGATGCCCCTAGTGGCTAAATTTGCAATTGTAACTTAAAAATGTCAGTTTTACTGAAACAGTTTAACCCTTAGGCTGATGACTCAAGGACAATATATCAGAGGTATATTTTTTATGCAGTAAGCTGTGTTCTGCTCTGCATGGGAAGTAGAAAAATGAAAGCCATATTAACACACAAATTTCATGACATTCATAACGAGCCAGGTACATAAGCAACCATAAACACATATACTTAATATCACGTAATCACACAGCTATTTAGCCATAACCATACGTAGTCAGCACATGCACACACACATACAGTCACTCACACACACACGTTCATATATCTAAACACTCACTCAAACATACCTACATAAATAGATGAATGCATGTGTATCTAGCCATTTACATACAAACATTCACAACTACCTATGCAAACACATCATACATATTTCAGACAAAATTAACTTCTCTACCCTTGCTCGTTTACCTGTGTACCAGCAATGAGGAGAGGTGTAAGGAATCTCCCAGGTGTCTAATGGGGCAGAGTGGGTGAGTGACACAGTGTAATAGACATAGGCATGCGCAGCCTATTGCATTAGGGTGTGCACCCTAAAGCACAAACACACGCCGCATGTATACCATAGGCGTGCGCACAGGGTGTGCCTGGGCACACCCTAATCCCCGTGGCACGCCTATGGTTTGAGTCCTGCAGGAACAGCGTTCCTGCACTTTTTTTTGAGCAGGAATGCTGTTCCTGCAGGCACTCAGCGCCCCCTGTCTCACATCTTGCCCCTGTCATGGGTGGGGGGCAAGAGGTGATGGATACCCCCCGCTCTGCATCTCAGCCGCGGCGAGGGAGCTGTCTGCTCTCTGCTTCCTCTCGCCGCGCGCTGATGCCAGGAGCCGGAATATGACGTCATATTCCGGCTCCCAGCTACAGCAGACAGCCCGCGCAGTGAGAGGGAGCAGAGAGCAGACAGCTCCCTCGCCGCAGATGAGATGCAGACAGGCACCCGGCCCACTGGACCCCAGGGAAAAGTCCACGCCAGCAATCCAGGTAGGGAGGCTGGGTGGACATTGTATTATTAAAATATAATAATTTGTATGTGTGTGTGTCTGTGAGTGTATGTGTGTGTGTCTGTGAGTGTATGTGTGTGAATGTGTGTGTCTGTGAGTGAGTGTGTGTGTGTCTGTGAGTGTATGTATGTGTGTCTGAGTGTATGTGTGTGTGTCTGTGTGTGTGTGTCTGTGAATGTGTGTGTGTGTGTGTGTATATTATTTTTTGGGGGGGGTGGGAATCCCAATCTCCCCTTTCGGCTCACGCAGAGCCAGCGCTATCTGAGTGCTGGCTCTGCTCTAAGCCTCCATGGGCCGGCGGGGAGACCAAAGATCTACCTCACCGGTCTACAGCAGCATGGAGGGAGGCAGGGGAGGACCCAGGGAGCTCTAGACAGAAGCTCCGCCAGATTCCTCTCGCGATATCTGACCGTTGCTGCGGCAAGGCTCAGATCTCGCAAGAGTTAACTCTAGCCCCGCAGGCTAGAGTTCACTCTCCACTGGACCACCAGGGATGGCACATGGCAGTAAGGATTTACTACTCTGCCCCTACCTCCACAATCCCTCCAAACATACAGCACCTACACACATACAGCTCATACACACACAGTACACTAACCGCACCCTCACAAACACACACAGCACCTTTAAAAAAACACAACACCCTCACACACAGCACACTAACAGCACCCTCACAAACACACACACACACAAACAGCACCCTCACAAATACACAACACTCACACAAACAGCACCCTCACAGGACAAACACACACAAAAACCCTCACACACAAACAGCACAGTCACACACACAAACACCCTTACATCACACTAACTGCACCCTTACACATACATCACACTAACAGCACACAGCACCCTCACACAGCACACTAACAGCACACACAGCAGTGTATGTGTGTGTATGTGTGTGTGTATATATATACATCTATATACACACACATATATGCGGCGTGTGTTTGTGCTTTAGGGTGCACACCCTAATGCAATAGGCTGCGCATGCCTATGATACATACACTGCTGTTAGTGTGCTGTGTGAGGGTGCTGTGTGTGCTGTTAGTGTGATGTGTGTGTGAGGGTACTGTTAATGTGATGTGTGGGTGAGGGTGTTTGTGACGGTGCTGTTTGTGTGTGAGGGTGTTGTGTTTGTTCTGTGAGGGTGCTGTGTGTGTGAGGGTGCTGTTTGTGTGAGTGTCATGTATTTGTGAGGGTGCTGTTTGAGTGTGTGTGTTTGTGAGGGTGCTGTTAGTGTGCTGTGTGAGGGTGTTGTGGTTTTTTTAAAGGTGCTGTGTGTGTTTGTGAGGGTGCGGTTAGTACACTGTGTGTGTGTGAGCGTGCTGTGTGAGCTGTATGTGTGTAGGTGCTGTGGGTGCTGTATGTGTATGTGTGCTGTATGTTTGGAGGGATTGTGGAGGTGGGGGCAGATTAGTAAATATCCCCCCTCCCTTCTGACCTTATGTAGGGAGGGTGGATCCTTGCTGCCATGTGCCATCCCTGGTGGTCCAGTGGATGGCACATGGCAGCAGGGCTAGAGTTAACTCTCGCGAGATCTGAGCGTTGCCACGGCAATGCTCAGATATTGCGAAAGGAACCTGGCGGAGCTGCTGTCTAGAGCTCCCTGGGTCCTCTCCTGCCTCCCTCCATGCTGCTGTGGGCTGGTGAGGTAGATCTTTGGTCTCCCCGCCGGCCCATGGAGGCGTAGAGCAGAGCCGTCATTCAGATAGCACCGGCTCTGCGTGAGCCGACAGGGGAGATCAGGAGATCTTCCCTGCCGGCAGGGTACAAGTCCTGTGGAATAATGTGTGGGAACTCTCCCAAGATTCCCACACCCGCCCCCCCAAAAAATAATATACACTCGTGTGTGTGGTTGTGTGTACATATATATATACGTACACACACACTCACTCACTCACAGACACTCACACACAGACACATGCCGTGGAGCTGTGGGGCTCTGTTATACACTCAGACACATTACTGGGAGTATTATTGCTGTGGAGCTCTGTTATACACTCAGACACATTACTGGGAGTATTATTACTGTGGAGCTCTGTTATTCACTCAGACACATCACTGGGAGTATTATTACTGTGGAGCTCTGTTATACACTCAGACACATTACTGGGAGTATTATTACTGTGGAGCTCTGTTATACACTCAGACACATCACTGGGAGTATTATTACTGTGGAGCTCTGTTATACACTCAGACACATCACTGGGAGTATTATTGCTGTGAAGCTTTTTTTATTCACTCAAACACACCAAAATATATAGAGCTACTAGAAAAGAGGAACAATGGGATAAAAAAGAGGCAAAGAAGGATTTGGCCTCAAAATAGGGATTGTGTTTCCTAAATAGGGACACTTGGGAGGTATTGTTAGTTGTAGTTACTGTGTCTCATTTGTGGTGTGGGGCCCAATAATAACCACTTATACTCCACAGCACTAGGGGGCAGCAGAGGTGCCACTCACCTAACACCATGTGCAGTGACTGAGACGGCTGCAAAGTCTTACAACAAAGACAAGAAAACGAATATGGTGGTGCTGTCTCTCCCTCCATCCTGCGTCCCTAGGCGCAGGCCTCGTCGCTTCCTCTCTGACACCCCATCTGAATCTTTAAAAAAAAAAAAACTGTTTTACTAAACAAAACAATCCCTTTGAAAGGCCCCAATTACATGGAGGCGGCTCCTGCATTAAGGAAATGCGAGAGAATGAACAGCCGTGCAATAATGGAAGGATTAACTGCAGCAAGCGTTTTTACTAATGCACTAAAGAAAGCCTCTTCCTCTCTCCTCTGCTCTGTTGGAAGAACTCAAGAGAAGCTTTACTAAGTGAAATCTGAACCCCAGCCACATGGACAGGAGAAATCCAGCCACCCAGTTAGAGGCAGACTGGGGTCGGAGCTGTATATCCCATGTATGAAAGATAATGAAATATATCCATAGGTGTGTACAGTTGGATGGACACTGCCTGAGTTTGAGCTCCTGTTTAATTGGTGACACTTGTAAAAAGAAATACAATACGTACAGCATTAAATACTCCTCTACAGCCTTTCTGTATGGTATATATTTTCAAAATGCATCACAGATAAAGGTCAGAGCTTAAACTAATTTTAAAGAGATTTTCTGCCATCAAAACAACATATCTCAATTAAATTGTTTTGATGGCTTGAGTTCCTGGTGGAGCCATTTTACCTTGGTGTGTTAAATCGTTTTAAAATAATGTAACGCCTAATGTGCTTTTGAGCGCCCGTCCGTACTCTCCAATCCCTCGGGTGCAATCCTGAGCAGAAAATTAAAGTATTGCCAAGTGATGGGTGTAGACGAAAACAAACAAAAAAAAAATTAATGGCGTGCATGAAATAGTTGGGTTGTTAAATTGTTTGAATGTGGTTTTACATTTTAAAATATCTTCATTGAGATAAAGTGGTTTTGATGGTAGAAATTTCCTTTAACCCCTTAAGGACACATGACATGTGTGACATGTCATGATTCCCTTTTATTCCAGAAGTTTGGTCCATAAGGGGTTAAACCACAGCTGACAAATTGCCCTAGGGTATTCTTGGTATACAATCCTCATAAGTCGATTCAGGCTTTGGCTTTAAATTCTGGGAGATGTAGTCCATTAACAGCAATTTGACAATTGTATGCTAAAAATATAGGGTTCAGACTGATATAGGCATACACGTAATTATTATATTTATAAAATATCAGATTCCATAAGGCCACCATAGCACTGATACAAAAAAAATGTTTTTCAGGTTAAATTACAACAGGTTAGAGCTACAAATACCATTAATTATTTATTGTGGGAGGTTAAATTCTATAACAACCGGGAAGCTACCTTTTGGCCAACACAGGGTTAAAAAAAAAACACGAATAGGGGTGTAAAGACATCTAACATCTTCATTGCAGTCTGCTCCAAAGATGTGCATCCCATTGTACAGCGCTACGGAATCTGATGGCGCTATATAAATAAAATAATAATAATATATACAGGGATGTTTTGTTTTTTGTTTGTTTGTTTTATCATTTCTTATGTGACTTGCAAAATAACTTTAACCCCTTTAGGACATGTGTGACATGTCATGATTCCCTTTTATTCCAGAAGTTTGGTCCTTAAGGGGTTAAATGTATTTTATTTTAGGAGTGTCTATGGGAGCAATGGATAGTGGAGAAAATGGTTGCTGAAAGGTTGAATAAAACATTCAATGACTGCAGAAAATGAATCCTGTTATGATCTGGGACTATTTTCACGAAGGGTTTAAGCATGTATTAGTTTAGGTATTAATGTTACTGTTTCAGGATTATTTACCAAGAAGCATTTGGATTGCTGAAAATGAAAAGTCATTCTGAAAAGTTAAAAACATGTGCGAAGATTGAGCAAAATAGGTTGGAGCTAAATAAATAATTGTGTTTATTTTGTCATGACATTACTTGCTGGCTGCACTTTAGAAATGTGCATACTTTACATGCCTCAACAAACAAAAACAAAAAAGGCTGGTCAGTTTTTACAGACGGTAGTGTAGAGGATAATACGATTATTACATTAAAACAAATTTTGTCTCATGCCGTAATGCGGTTTCATTACAGGCACGCTAAGATTGAGAGACTTGAGTCTTGCAAAGAGTTGAATTCGCTGTCAGCTATCAGGTTTTGGATGTGGTATCCTGTACTTCCTATTTGCTAGAGTTACAAATAGCTCAGCCAATCCACTTACTGCCGAGCCTGACCATTCATAAAAGCCAGCATGGCACTAAGCTATAAAGAGGAAGTAGGACAAAGGCTTGTTATCAGACAGCCTTCAAAGACTCATTGAGACATTCCTGTCTTTTTTAACCCTTTTACCACCTTACAGCATGTTCGCCACATGCTCATATTAGTTTTTTTAACCTTTCCACTACTGAAAGGACATACACTGCTGCATATTACAGCATTGGTAACAATACAATTCTATAGCATTTACACTCATTTAGTGAGGTTTCATTCACTTAACAGAGAATTGTTTTGAAACGACACCAGAATTGCAAAATTTGCTCTAAAATAGCCAAGTTCCAGCTGTAGAATTTTTCAAAATCAGCTACTTTGGTCTAAATTTTGCAATTTGGTTTTTAATTCCATACATTTTGACCAGTATCTCATTTCAAACTGAGCTATTTTACCTAAATTTTGCAACTTAGTAAACAAACCACAACGTTTTCACTGTTGATTTAAATCATGTGTTCGTACCCAATGTAATATTAAAGATTTTCTTCCAGGGCCCCGTCCTTGGAGGTCTGACTTTGATTATTCCATCAGAGGCATAAAAAACAGAGAACCCTTTTATCAAGTAATTCACAAGATCCTTTACTTACAGGATTATTTACTAAACTCTGCATTGTAGCAAATTAAATATTAATTTTTATAACTTATAGCCAAGTTGAAGATATTTCTCTAATCAGTCATTTTTGTCTCGGTTTTGCAGTTTGGATTTAATTTGATACAGTTTGGAGTTTCGTGAATGACCATGTGTGTTCATGTAATTAATTTAAAGGGGAAGTACCATGAGGGAAGAAAGCTTTAGTCTTTCAGGATTAAATACAGAATATTAGAAAAGTGGAGTAATTTCATAAGTTAGCATAATTTATTCCATTTGGAAAAGAGTAATTTAATAAACAAAGTAGCCTCCCGCAGACAAAATACTTTAAATTACCCTGAAATACAAAATGAACGTTGTCTGCTTATTTTTGTACTATCATACCTCCCGAGTGTCCCTTTAATGATGGTGGAAAATATATAAAGTCACTCTATATGGGCAGGATTTATTTAAAAAATTGTCTGTCATCTTCTGGCGTCTTTGCAAATTTAAAAAAGACCCCGATGGTGATTTCGCCACTTGCTGCGCGATATCCTGAAGGTGCAGGGGAAGGTAAGTTTTACTTATCTGATACTATCCCTCACAGCTGCCACCATGTCTATGCGGTGGCTCCTCTTTAGCTCCTATGGCTTCAGTTACCAGGAGCTCAGATCAGTCCTGTACTTTCGCGCATGTACATTATTGTCCATTGAGGAACCTGTGAGATTGTGGGGACATCCATAGACAGTGCATTTTTCTTCAGAGCAGTCGCTACTGAAGGCTGTGGGAAATGGCAAAACTTAAATGTCAAGTTTCGCAATGCGTAGGCAAAATACATACTACAGAGTAGTTCCTACGTTCTCTTATGATATCTTTTGACTGCATTGAAATGTCGGTGAAAATCTAACACAGTCAATGTGAGTATTATCTTTATGAAATACTATTTATTTTTTTGAGGGGGATTGACAGAACTGCTTTGTGCAATATGTATTGCCATTATCATCGTAATTATTAGGATATTTGGTTTCCTTGTTGTTTAAATCACAGTTTTATACACTCATTAAAATAAATAGAGAATTGATAAATGCAAAAAAAAAAAAGTTAAAAAATCACTGAACTGGAGATTTCTCCGAATTTTTTTTTTTTTTTTAAACTAAACTTTGCAATTTGCTTCATTTTTAAATTCACTGCAGTTCTAGTGAAAAGTGTTTAGCGAATAAACGTTTTGTCTATTAAGTAAGTTGGCCACATTGTTGGACACTTGTGAATTCTGCATTCTGTGAGGCAGGGTTTAAGAGAGCTGCTCAGCAGTATGTGCAACCATGGTGAACTCAGGGAACTATTCACAGTTAGGATTCCAAAGGATCTGCTGCAATGAATTAGTCTCCCACCGGGAGCACTGGAATTCTTTCAATAGGGTGCATTTAAGCTCTGCTCAAAGGAATAGGGTTGCAAAACGCAGAATTCAATGCCTTCCTGGAAAAATAGCTACGGGGCAACCATGCTACCGATCTACTCCAGTCCTAGATTGTAATCTCATTGGGGCAGGGCCCTTTTTTCTTCTTATATGTGTTCACATTGGATTATAGTGTTATTTATTTGCAGGGTATATCTTTATTATAAAATTGTATACCGCTCCTGAATATACCAGGCACTATAAGAATAAAAATAATTTCTTCCAGTTGATTAACCTGAAAGTTGTATTCACAAACGATTGTCAGCTTCTAAGTTAGAGAATTAAATCTATAACATTAAAAAATTAAATACGGACTATTTAAAATTAAATATAGCAAAAACAGTATACAAGACAGTTTCCAAAGGCAGACCCCTTGAAGGGGCACCTTTAGATCCATAGCCACTGTAACGTGTCCAAGCGGTTATGGTGTCAGGCGTCACCTTGCACCATCCACCATTTTCGAATGAGTTAACCTGGATCTCTGACCCCCTTTACAGATATCAGACTGACTTTAAAAGTACAAAGTAACCCTAACAATTCATGTCAACTTTACTTTGTTGTAGTTGACCCACACATGTTGTTAGTGCACTAACTAAACATGCATTAAAGTTATAAAAAAAAAAAACACAATATATTTAGACATTTAACAATTCAACAAATAAACAAATCCCCAGGCTTTTTCTGCAGAGAGCTCTCACCAAACCAGGAAGTGACTCAGCAAACAGCCATATTCACCGCATTTTCTAGCAGTTCTGAGCTTGTCTCACATGTAGTACTTTTTGTGCGCCGTAAGTGTTTATAGGGGTAATACAACCGTGATACGGTGATTTTTTTCAGCCATTGCTTGTTCATCTTCCCAAAAAGTCATGTAACCAATCCCTACGGGAACACATTTAAAGGGACTCTCCAGTGCCAGAAAAACAAACCGTTTTCCTGGCTCTGCAGGTCCCCTCTTCCTCCCATCCCCCATCCCAGGCTGCTCAAGGGGTTAAAACCCCTTCAGTGACTTACCTGTATCCAGACCTATTGCACATGTGCGGCCGGCGACAGGGGAGACCTAATGAGCATGCGCGGCATTAGACCTCCCTATAGGAAAGCATTGAAAATGCTTTCAGTGCTTTCCTATGGGGATTTCAGCGACGCTGAAGGTCCTCACATAGCGTGAGGACGTCCAGCGACGCTATAGCACATAAAATCTGTGCTATAAACTCGGAAGTGCCCTCTAGTGGCTGTCTAGTAGACAGGCACTAGAGGAGGAGTTAACCCTGCAATGTAAATATTTATTTATGTTTATGAAAACTGCAATATTTACAGTTGCAGGGTTAAGGGTAGTGGGAGTTGGCTCCCAGACCACTCCGATGGGCAGAAGTGGTCTGGGTGCCTGGAGTGTCCCTTTAAGCATGGCACATACTTCCAGTTTAAGGAAACAAGATAATAATAATCTACCCATAAAATACTTTATATTATTAATAGAGCAATGATAATGAGGCATGAATCAGCACCTCATGGCTTGACACAATATCTATCACAATATACAAAAAAATAAAAAAATTGACCTTTAAATGCTACTTATTGTGCAGGATTCAAAAATAATATACACAATATTTGCACTTTGTTTGTAGTAATTGTTTGTATATACTGTACAAACTGCAGTATGCAGAGCAGCCAATAGGAAATAAGCAGGACAAAGAGTCTATCTCCTATTAGCTCCATAGAATCTTATAATATAAACCTCCTCGTACTCTTTTTCTAAGTCTGTCATACGTGTAGTTTTCATCAAACCCTTTTCAAAGATTGATTCCATTTTGTTACCTTACGTATGGTATATAATAGACACGTCGTGGCCATGTTTTATCACCCTAAGCTCATTTGTCCTTAACCCTGTGAAGAGAATAAGTGTCTCTGACTGTTAATAATAATCACGCAGTTTGTATATTGGTTTTCTGCAGACATGAGAGGAATTTCTCGCACTGTCTGCACCGTGCAATAAACAGGCCTCTCCTGTATTAACATGTCCTTATGTAGTAACCTCACAAAAGC